GCTCTGTTGTTTCTGGTCACTTTTGCTCTGCAGGGGACTACAAATGTAAAATTGTTCCCAGTTAAATTTAGTACCAAAACCTTTGTTATCTATTTATGTAATTACCCAGCACATCTTTTCCTGCATTCATATTGCTGCACATTGCATATCATATACACTCACTATCTGTGATAGGCCATCATTGTCAAATAATGTTGACATTCCAATAAATCCGTTGGAAGATGGTAAATTATGGAAATAATTGAGCAGGGGATGGCATGGTGTTACAGTGGGCACTGTTGCCTCACAGCTGTGGGTTTGAATCTGCCTGTATATTTTCCTTCTAGGTGCGCTATGCTTCTGTCTAAATTCTAAAGGTTAATTACCAGTAGGTATGACTGTTAGTGTACGTGGTTTTTTGTTTGTGAGAAAGACTGTCGATCTTTCCAGGGTGTAACATGCCTCTTGCACATTATCAGCTGAGACTGGCTCAATGAGCATACACACTTTAAAGGAAGACATTGATATTATTTTGGAAACCAATTGGTAACATTCAATATATTTATTTTGAATACTTTCATCAGCTGATTGTTCTCAATTTCAAATAGAAAACAGTTTTATCAATTGTTGTATTGAAATAAGAACAAATAAATACATTTGACTGTTTCCTCTGGACAATCTCACAAAATTACCTCAGCATTTTGTGCCTAGAACATTGTGTGAACATAATGCATGCATCATTTTAAAAAGACATTATTGATCTCTATGCATCTGCCTGGATTCTATCTTTCCTACTAAAGTCTGCAAATTTTATAGACATGACAGGAGTTGAACTTAGTCTTTTGTTTTTGTTCTTTACCAGTATGATGTTTGAATCGACTTCATGATGTTTTGTGAGCTACACAAACAGATCTCACAGAGCTTGTGGCCTGTCTTTGTTTGCAGGAGCATAAGGAAGTGGTGGGCTTCTCTACCATCCAACCGTCGGCAGCTCATGCACGAATGGGTCTGGAGGCGTCGTTGGCATCTGGCAGCAGGGGCGGGTGTTGCCATGGTGATTGCAGCTCTACTCCTACTGACTCACCTGGATGAGTCTCCTTTGACGGGACGGATCCGCCTCCTGGTGTTCAGCAAAGAGACCTACATGGAGCTGGCTGCTCTGACTTCAGAGGCTGTGAGAGAGGGAGAGGGGACAGACATGATGACCTGTGTGTGTGTGTGTGTGTGTGTGTGTGTGTGTGTGTG